TGTTTTGCCTCCATTCATCTTTGTACAGAGTCTGAGACTCAACACAGAGGCCAACATCAAGTGCCTTGTTGACGTAGTGTTTCTCTAGGTCAAGAGGGTGGCAGCTGGGGGAACAATGTCTAGCAACAGGACTATTTTTCATCTTTTGTATTTTTTGTTTTTATTTTTTTATTTTGTGGTTTTCCTTTTTGTCATTTTATTTTTCTGTTTTTGTTTGTGTTTCAGTTTTTTTTTTTTTTTTTTTTTTTTCATCTTGTGTTTTATCTTTTTTTATCTTGTTTTTATATTTAGTTTTTTTCTATGGTTAGTGTTTTTTGTGTGTGTTTCTTTTTGTTGTTTTTCTTTGTGTTTTTTTTCTTTTTTTTTTGTTTTCTTTAAGTTTTTTTTGGTTTTTCTTTGTATTTTTTGGGGGGTGTTTTTCTTTGTTTATTTTTAGTTTTTCGTTGTGTTTTTTGGTGTTTTTCTTTGTGGTTTGTTTTTTGCCTAATAACAATAGAGTTATGTAGTTCTCGAGGAAGATAGAAATTTTAAGACTTAACAGTTATTCGACGTTATTTTTGGCATATTTATTATGCTTATTTCACTTTGTTTCATTTTACTTTAAAATGCAACAGGGTCTGATTTGTTGGTTTAGGTTGAAGTAAGCTGCAAATTTTTATTATTTAGGATGAAACAGGCAGTGAATGTGGAAAAATACGTGTCAATGTCCTGTTTTATGAACGTGATAACAGGCACACACAAGGGAGACAACCTGTTCTCTTCTGCTGATTCATGATACTTGTTTTATATAACTTACTTTTTTACCGCTGTTGTTTTCAAATATTCTTGCTGATGCGTTCGACTTAATCGGCAAAATGCACACCTGCTTGCTAAAGGCTCTACTCCGGTATTATTTAAGCGTATATATCTCTATTTTAATTTTTTCGGTTTTGTACTTTCATTTTTCCCCAGTTGGATAAACATTTTGCCCGCTTTCGAAACGAACCTCATCCTAGTTTGACTCATATTGAGAATTTTTTTATTCACACATATTTAATATTTGGAACAAAGTTTCACCACCATGTTGTTTCCTACTTAATAACTATCTGTGTTTTTTTTCTTTTAAATATATCTTTCTCTATGTCTGTATAATAGGCCTCCCAACAGAGTTATTGTAAATGGCAACGTTATAAAATTCCATCCGTTCGAATACTGGCTCCATGCGTTAGAATTTTTGATAAAATATCTATTGCACAGACTCGATATACCATCAACAGAAGAGCTAACATCGGATCGACTCTCTCTAGGTGGAGTTCAATAACGTTATTCTGTACGACAATGACTTTTACACCTCGGGGTGTTACTTCAGCTAACATCATCTTTTTTCTAACCATGTAATTTTTTTTGTATTAGATTTAGATTTAATAACTTTTATCGTTTTTCTGCACAACAAAAGTTGCGGATTAAATTAAAATTTATATCTCTTAAAAAAAAAGTTATAAATAATAACCGATAGAAATATTGATTAGCAAAAGAAACGTTGAGAAAAGGGACGCTAAATGATTTGCCTCATTGTTTTTTGTGTTTTTTTTTACATTTATTTCATTTTTTTATTCAATCCAAACAAGGTACTCGAGAGAAACTCAGTCGATAGCAGGGTTGATAAAACAGACAAGCGATATCATCCTCTACCGAAATAGGCAATTCCCCATTTGAAGTGATTTGGGATTTTATCGTTTATTAATTATATTACTCTAACAATATAAAAGATCCACAAAAAGAGCTCTATTTGAAATATTTTGTGGATCAGTTTTAATAATTTTATGACTTGCATATACTTGGATTATATACTAACGGATTTATTACTTTTACTATACACGCACACACACACACACACGCATATATATATATATGGTTTTTAGTTCGTTTGTTTTACGGCATATCAACCACACTGGGTTATTTAATGCCGCCAAAATTTTTATTGCTGGTAATGTTTTTCTTCAAAAATCTATTTCTGGAAATATTTTTCCTTGAAGAAATCTATAGCTGGTAATTTTTTTTCCCAAAGAATGTATAGCTGTTTGTATTGCTGGTACTTTTGTAAAAATATTGCTGATAATTTTTCCTTCAAAAATTATTGCTGGTAAGATTTTTTATTACAAAGTATTTCTGGTATTAAAACCTATTTTTCATAAGTTTTGGCGTCAACTATTTGCCCATAGCTGGAACCCTAACTGGGGCTACCACTCGGGTCAGGTTGGACCTGGGAACACCAGCAATTAAGAGGTGGTTCTACGCTCCTCAAAACCTCCTAAGCAGAGGACTTGCTGTTGGACTTTGTTTATCGTCTTACCCAGCACGTGGATGTAGTTTATCGTCATAACAAGTACGGTGGATCTCAACGGACTATGTGAAGTTTACGTTGCTTTTAGATCATATTTTTCCACTTTGTCACTGTATTTTCCAATATTGTATTTGTATCTAAATATCATTTTTTAATTTCTATGCATATAATTAGAGAGAAAGAGAGCCATTGGTGTCTGTTAGATTTTCAATAATCGACCTCTTTCTTCCCTACAAACTCGTTTACCGTATTGCACTATTATTACATTTGTGGTGATCACTTATATTATGTAGGGTTCTGTTATTAAGTTTATTGTCAAGTATAAGGAATTTTCTTCTTCTGATTTAAAATCCAATAGGCACCAATGGCTTATATACACAGACATGACAGAATTGTATAGACGCTCACAGAAACCATTTATTTAATTAAACAAGTAATTTATACAAATGAAGTAATTATAAATGGTCATGAATTTAATAACTAATACTTGGTTGACATCCCTTTTGCATTTTTTAATGCAAGGACCCTTCCACACATGCTAGCGATGAGTTCATGAATATCATCTTGAGGGATTTCTTGCCATGTTTGACGCAATAATCCTAAAAGTTTGGGCTTAGAAGATGGCTTCCTGTTCTTTTTATAGAGTTTTCAATCTAATATGCCCCAAAGGTGTTCAATAGGGTTAATATCTGGGGACTGACTTGGCCATGGAAGTTTATTGATCCCATTTTGTCTCAACCAATGTTGCGTTGCTTGAGCAGTGTGACATGAAGCTCCATCTTCTATAAATAGGGAGTCAATTTTGCTCATTCTACTACTTGAGAATATTGGAAGGAGCCCTTTCTTTAATATAGAAACGTATTTGGTTGAATTAATGTTTCCTTCACACTCCACAAGCTCTGAGCGACCATCACTCCAAATTGCACCCCATACCATTACTGAAAGGCCCCAATGTTTCACCGTTGGCTGCAGTCTTTTAAAATCAAAATGTTGACTACAGAGTCTCCATACCCATACTCTTCCACTTGGAAAATAATGAAAATCTTGACTCATCAGGGAAAATGACAGTGGTCCAAAAGTTCACAGGTCTCTCCACCATCTCATGAACTCAATCCTTTCTGCGTTTGATATTGGCTGGACGGAGAAGTGATTTCCTTCCTGACAGCTGTTCTGAGACTGACATCATCTTGTGTTGCTATGTCAGAGGCCTTGCAACGTGGATCCTGTTCAACATTTCTTTCGACAAGACGCATGATTTTTCAGAGGGCCCATGGCGGCCTGGATGGGGTTTTGTGCACTTCTTGCCCTCTCTGGTGAATTATAAAATCACTCTATTAACAGTAGAATGGGGTATTGAAGGAATTTCAGATATTTTTTCTTTTACTAAGACCACCTTCAAATTGTCCCACGATACGTCCTCACTGAAATTCGGATAGTTCTGATGCTCTTTTCGTTCATGGCATGTTACAGTATTGTTATCTGCAATTTTAATCAAATAATCTAAGTTAATTTATCTTACCTTTTAAAAAAAATCAGAAATAAAATTTATCTTGGTGTCTATTCAATGCTGTCTTGTATATATATATATATATATATATTATTTATATATATATATATATATATATATATATATATATATATAAATATATTTCTATATATATATATATATATATATTTCTATATATATATATACTTATATATATATACTTATATATATATATATATATATATATATATATTCTATATATATACTTATATATATATACTTCTATATATAAATATACATATATATATATACATATACTTATATATATATACTTATGTATATATATATATATATATATATATATATATATATATATATATATATACTTATATATATATATATACATACATACTTCTATATATACTTCTATATATATATATATATATATATATATACTTATATATATATATATATATATATATATATATATACTTATATATATATATATATATATATATATATATATATATATATATATACTTATATATATATATATATATATATATATATATATACTTATATACATATATACATACATACACATTTTTCTTACAGTTTTGATTTACATTCTGGCCAGAAGAAGCCGAGCCCAATAGACATCGGCGAATCGCATTGTTTTTAAGTTTTCCCTCTTTTTCTCATTATTTCCACATATCATTTCCAATAGCAATTGACCGTTGCAGAAAAAGAACAAAGAAATCACGAAAATATAGTTTTTTCTTTAAAATATCAAGGAATATGATTAGTCGAATACAAAGTTTCGCCGCCTTAGGTATTTCTACGTAAAAGCCAGCTTAATTTAATTTCTCTTGAAGAAAGCTACACGGAGCAAAATGCTGTTTTTGAAATCTGAATTAATTTACAATTGAGCCGTGGACTTTTTTTTTATTAGTTAATAAAATCATTTTCTCTTACCTGAAGATATTTTATGTAAATCTGTAATGCTTACGTATATTGCTGATTCACTTTGCTATTTCAAGTTAAATCAACCATAAAAACAACATATTTAGGGAAATATTTATCGATAGTATACAATAAATTAAGGAACAAATCTCTGTCTAGTTATGTGATTTATCACTAATCAATTTTTCTTTTTCCCTCATCCATCGCCATTATCAATGGTTATTCAGAATGATAGCTAATATTTTGTTATCTATCTGTCTATCTATCTATCTATCTATCTATCTATCTATCTATCTATCTATCTATCTATATATATGTGAAAAGTGTATATAAATATAAATAAATATATATATATATGTATAATTATTGATATATTATATGCGCGGTAATTATTAGAAAGCACTCAATATCAGAGATAGAGCTAACATATTTGGTTGGATAGATGTGAGTTTGTGACCCTAGGTTTCACGCTTTAGCGATCGTCGACAGTGTCTGACGATCGCTAAAAGTGACAGTATCTGACGATCGCTAAAGCGTGAAACCCAGGGTCACAAACTCACATCTATCCAACCAAATAAATATATATATATATATATATATATATATATATATATATATATATATATATATGTATGTGTGTTCACAAACAATTTTATTCATTTTCAGTTATCGCTACTCGTTTCCCCAAATTACAGATATTTAATTTCTTTTTCCATTTCTCAACCCAATTTCAAATAGATATTTAAAATAATATAAGATTAAATTAATTCTCACTACCTTAAAAAAATATTTTTAAAATTTCAAAACTATATTTTACATTCATTCATTCTGTGTCTATATTTCTGAGATGTTTTACATTGTTCAGACTGTTGTCTTCATCTTTGTTGCCATATTCCCTGCGTTTTGTCTGTTTTACGCTACGGCCTTCTTCGGAGTAGATTGTTCAAGTTCCACGTGCCATGCATCTTCCGAGTGCCTCAGTATCAGTTACCTACGTTTAACTCTACATTTTTTTGTTCACCCTAACTCTAGCTAGGTATTGAACATAGAGTTGTACAACAACTGGGGGATATTGGGTTAATCACTGGATTCAACCACCGCTTTTATCCAGTGGGCCACATGCGTTCATTCCTATTTTGGACATTATTTACGTGTTAATTATTTTAGTACACCCCAGTTGTAACATGTAATATCGAAAGAGAACAATCTACTCTGCAGATTAAATAAACCGTCCAGTTCTTGTACCTGAACTGTATTTACAAGAGACCCAAGTCCAATGGTAAGTTTTTGATTTGCTGTTATATTTTAAGGTCTTAAAATATTCAGAGACTTTAATAATTGAGTTAGGTTCCGTTCAAAATTTACTGTAGGTCACGCGGATCGACATATACCTGATAAAGTCAGGAGAACCTTACTGCCGGGACATTGTCAACATCATTTTTGTATGAATTTAAAATTAAGATTGTTCTCGTTTTACTTTAAATATAATACGTGGGGAGTAATAAAATAATTTTATTAGGAAAACATTATCAGTTTTTCAGTTATGTGCCATGCGTGATACACACGAAGGTGATCATTTATCTTTCGATATATGAATGACGAGTCATATGTTTTCCCGCAGTTTGTTGCCATTTCTTTCTGCCGTAGACTAGTTGCCACCCATCCAAGACTATAGAACCCGGTCTGTCCTGCTATTTACCCATAGCTGGATGGAGAAGAAAAGGATTCATACCTTTCCCAAGAGTATTAGCACGTAATTGAATGTAATGTATTCGACTGGAATTCGAACTCGGCTTTCCGATTCCTCAATCCGAGCCACTATCCATTTAGTTAAAATAAGTATTACGTCTTTGTAAATGTCGTTGACTTTGATTTTTTTTAGGATTAATGTGAATATTATATTGTATCCGTTGCTAGATCAGCTGATAAGAAAGTTGGTTCTCTGTATCGCGCTAGATAATTCTTCCCTCCTGAATTTATCTTACATTTCTATAAGTCTATCATTCATCAGTGCTTAGAATATTGCTGCCATATACGGTCCGGTACTCTTCCTATATATCTAGAGATTTTTGATAAAATCTAAAGAACCTTCAATATTATTGGTTCTGCTCTGGCATCTCGGCTTCAGTCAATTTTCCACCGCCGTAAATTTGCCTCCCTGTGCTTTTTTCTATAAATACATCCAAGGCCACGGTCCCGGATAAATTCTTTGCCAGGCTATCTAAACTTTTCGAATTTAGGCGCAGTACTGGAGTGACGACGATGTCTCACAAATATACAGTTGAGTTGGCTTCATGTAACCGTATGTTTTATGCCAGGGTTTCTTTTCTCGCACTTCTCGATTGTGGAACTCGCATACTTTCCACCCAAATTTTATCTTCAAAAATTTAAATGCAGTGTTAATCCTTTTTTGTTGTCATCCTGATTACTCATCGTTTTGTTAATTCTCCTTATTAAAGTTTCCGTATTCTGATTTGGAGAGGCTATTGGTCCCGGTAAAAATAGACAAACATGTTTTTTTTTTATCTTTGTTTTTACCATCACGGTAAAATAGACCCCAGTTAATTTTGCCGGTAAATATTGTTTTTTTTGTTTTATTTTTTATGAATGCAGCTAATGTTAAAATTAATACACAGATTTAACACATAAGTTTATATATTTTCACTATCAATTGTTAAGACAATTTAAAATCTTTTCAACCATCAATTTTTAAGAAACAACTTAAAACAATTCAATCATCATCAATTATTAAAAAGAAATATAAAACCTATTATTTACAATATTCGGACTATTGTCCTCATCGTTGTTGCCATATTTTTCACAAAGTTTCGGCTGTTTCCACTGCCTTAACGAGTTATTGAATTCACAACTCCTTGGGCTCTGCCACTGGTTCTAACCAACGCCTTTATCCCCTGTGCCATGTGTCGTTATTGTGAATTCAGTACCTGGTTAAAGCAGTGGAGAACTTGGAGAGTTGAAGAAACTGGAGAGAACATATAACTGACATCCATTAAACAAGGCACCTGGAACTGGAACTTTTTACCCCATAGAGCGAAATAAAGGGTACAGTTCGACATTCCAGCCACCTGAAGAAGGCCTGGGCGGGCAACGTCCGAAACGTTGTGATAAATATGGCAACAAAAATGAGGATAATAATCCGAATAATGTAAATAGTGTACATAATGCCTCATCTCAGAAATATAGACAGATACTGAAATATAAAGTCTGTGAATATTTTAAGCACTTCATCTATAACAGAAAATCAAAAACTTGCCCTTGGGCATGGGTTTTTTTCTCACATACACTTCAAGAGTACTCACTGCAGACACCAGTCACAGACCATAAAATACATGTTGTCCAAGCCTTGCTTACACAGTTCGCACAACGTTTGCGCTGACGATCACAAGGCTCCATAAACATGTTTGGTGCTCTAGCAATTGTTTCTGCTGTCTCTTTTCCACAGATTGTTTTCATCATTTTTCTAAGACGAATGAATGCTGCATTTAACATCTCTCAACATTTACAACAGCATTCCTGTTCACAGTCTCAAATGAACACAGCAAATTTGCTTTAGAAAACTAATACCCTGATGATGACATTGTGCTAATATCGAAAGTACTCAGAATAAAATGAATATGCATCAACATGTTAATTTCTTTCTTCCTTTAATAAGTATACTAAGAAAATTATGAATACAAATATTTTAAAATGTTGACAGTAGATACTTTAAAATATCTAGGTTTTAACTAATAGATTTTTAAAAGATTTTGACAATTAATTAACTTAGTTACCTCCCTTTACGTTTGTCGTGTGTTTACATCATATAATTTAAAAATCGTATCTTAGCGTTTTTCACTACATACGTAAAAATTTAATTTTCAAATGAACAGAGCAAATTTGCTTTAGAGAACCATTAGCCTGATGATGACATTGTGCTAATTTCGAAAGTACCCAGAATAAAATGTATATGCATCAACATGTTAATTTCTTTCTTCCTTTAATAAGTATACTAAGAAAATTGTCTGTAATTATGAGAGGATCCTATTAAAATAAGTAGACAAAACTTGTCTAAATTATTTAATGAGACCTGTCTTAATGGAAACATGCTGGCAAAATACATATATATATATATATATATATATATATATATATATATATATATATATATATATATATATATTTTTAAAACACTAATTATATTTACAGGCAAAACAACCTATTTGTTTCTAATTCTTCCACATCCAGTAACCTCTCGTGACCTAATGACTTTACAGCCGCCCTTCGGTTGCAATCGATTAAAGAAAATACGTTTCCATCTTTGCAAAATCTTACAGGGAAGTAACTTTCCCTCACAAAAATGTTGATTTTTCGCTTCTTGAATCTAAACACAAGCGTGATTAAATATGGTTGGTTGCACTTTAACTACAGCAGATTATTTAATGCCGAAATCTAAATATTGTGTAAGCAGTTCTCTGCCTTCAACTACATGTCCCATGTACATAATTTATACACTCAGAGTAAACAATTTTTAGATATATAATTTGTAGATAAAATGTATTACTGGTAATTTCACTACAAAAATGTATTGTTAGTAATTTCATTATAAAAATGTACTGCTTTTTTCTTCTTTTTTTTTTTTTTTCTTTTTTGGCTGGTGTCAGTATATGCCCATAGCTGCGTCCCTAACAAGTGCTACTACACCGGATCCACCGTTGTTGAACTGGGAACAATAGCAGTTCAGAATGCCTTCCAAAATCCTCACAACCTCCAATATCCCGATCCGAGGCCTTGCTGCCGGATGTAGTTCATCGTCATACCCAGAGCGGAAATATACTTAGAATACATATTTAGAGAAAGCGGGCATGAGAAAAGGACGTGTCTTCTCACAAGACGTTTACTGTGAAGAAATCCAGGTAGAATAAATTTTATCATTGATTCATTATAGACGGGCACAAAATCAACATTTTCATAGTGCTGCCTAAGAATTCGGGTTTAAACGAATACATACTCAATCGGATGAACAGCTGAATCAGCCACATAACAAAAAATATCATCCGACTTCTAGTGAATACAGCGCAGAACAGAAACAGATGAAAACAGAACAAGAACAGTGAGGTTCCGTTAAAGACACTGGGCCAAAGAATGCAACAATTATGCTCACAGTGAAATCAGAACGACCAGTACAGATGCGATAGAGTATATACCTATGATATATAGATTATGAAACCTAAATATTGATGTTCAGAGTACTCGATTCACGTATTGCTTTTATCTACTAAGACACCAATCGCTAAGGACATATATTTTAAAACATTC